TGGCATGGCCACCGTCTGTAGAGGTACTTTTGATTAGAGGACATTCCCCTTTGGGGCTGGAACCTTCTATGTCCCATGTCCTGGCCACAGACGCGAGAGGGGCACTATGGACACCGCCGTTTCATGTTTCTCAGCGGGACTTCGAATTAATTTTCCTGCGGCTCCGGGGCCAGGAGTCCGGAGTCCAGGTGTGGGCCTGGCTGCGCTCCCTTCGAAGGCTCTGGGGAAGGGCCCTTCCCCACCTTTTAAATCTTTTAAAATGAATTTTTATTGATTTCAGAGAGGAAGGGAGAGGGGAGCGAGAGGAACATCGATGAGCTGTTGAAGGCAGGCACGGGGCAAAGTCCTCCTGAGACCGTGTTTGCTATTTTAAACCCTCAAGTCCTCGGTTAAATGAGGACCCGTTTAAAGGCCCCGGAAGGAGCAGGGCAGCCACGGCAGGCGGCGCGCTCCGCGGGTGGGGCCCAGGTGGCTTTGGTGTCTGTGGAAATCCGCTTGCCGTGGAGCCCGGGTCCTCCGTGTCACGCGTGCCCTGTCACCGGGCGTCCCACACCTGAGGGAGGCCCTAGGACAGGGAGAGCCGATCGGAGACGCACAGAAAGACGGTGTACGTACGGACGCAACGGCAGACACACGGGGACACGCCCAGTGTGGGGCTTTCCTCGCCTGCATGGGTGCCCCTCCCTCCAGCCACGGCCACATTCCCTTTCAGCGTCTAGTCCGACGTTTGTAACCTTATGCCCTCGGCCAGGAGGCGGCACCCCCCCAAGTGGGAGCCTGCAGGCCCGGCCTGGTCAGGACGCCACGAAACAGGAGACATGGCAGGGCGTGTGGGGAAAAGTGTGTGTGTGTGTGTGTGTGTGAGCAACCGATAAATGTTTCTCCCTTTTTCTCTCAAAACTATGTTTCTCCCTTTTTCTCTCTAAACTTATCCTTGGGTAAGGATTTTTTTAAAAAAATCAATTCTCCACAGGCAGGAGTAGATAGGATGGGGAGACTGATGGGCTGGTGGTGGTGGGGTACGGGTGCGGCCGCACACGCTGCCCCTCTGGGAATTGGTTTGTAGTTTCTTAAAGCTACAAGCACACTCACCACACAGCCCAGACCCCCAGGCCCTCCCTCCAAGGGGACTGAAAACACATGTCCACATGGGTCACAGCAGCTTCATTCATTACAGCCCCGAAGTGGAAGCAGCCGGTGTGGGGCCGCGGGTCCGCGGGTTGGGAGCAGCCGTGGAGGGACGGTGGGCGGGCAGCAGCCACAGGAGATCACGGGTGAAACGGCGCCTGGACATGTCTCCGAGGGCCATGCTCGGGGAGCGGCCGGCACAAGGCATCCACACTGTCTGCTCCCATTTCTATTTGAAAACGACATATTTCACTGATGTCAGCGAGGCAGGGAGAGGGAGAGAGAGAAACATCACTGATGAGAGAGAATCAAGGACCGGCTGCCTCCTGCACGCGCCCCGCCCCAGCCCGGGAATCGAGCCTACAACCTGGGCCTGTGCCCTGACCAGGGATCGAACCGTGACCTCCTGGTTCCTAGATCGACGCTCAGCCACTGAGCCGCACCGGCCGGGCACGTGGACTCCTTTTTATTTCCATGCCCACGCGGAGGAGTAGTCGGGAGTCCCCAGCCGGCAGGGACCAGGACAGGAAGCCAGACCCCCCAGGCCTTCGGGACCTTTTATGGAGAAAGGGTGATTGCAGATGTGATTAAGGATCCGGAGAGATCACCCTGGATTTCCCGGGTGAGTCCTGAGTCCAGTGACCAGTGTCCTGACAGGACCGAGGGCGGGACAGGGAGCAGGGCTCCCACACGGGATTGTGGGGCGTGCGTGTGTGGCTGGGCCTTGGAGTGGTGTGCACAGCGTGGGGTGGGTGCGGTGTGGGCAACACGTGGTGTGCGAGGCGCACGTTACGCGAGTGCATGTGTGTAGATGGTGTGTGTGTGGGGTGATATGTCAGCATGTGCCCCGCGGAGTTCCGTGTCCCTCCCTCCCGAGCCCCCAGCTCAGGGCTCAGAGGACCGCGGTGCCCGCTGCTGGGCTGAGAGTGGCGGGTAACCATGGCAACGGATGCTCCTGCAGCCCCGAGAAGCCAGGGTGGCTGGGTGGGGGCGCCCCGGGACCGTGGGCCGGGGGAAGGGAGGTGCTCAAGGAGCTGCCCAGGCGGGTCCCAGGCGCCCCTCGACTTCAGAGGCTGCTTGGGGAAGGGGGCGCC